AGGGACTGGAACAATCTTTCAAAAGGAACGGTTGAGGCGACAACACTAGACACATTTGTGTCTATTGCCTCAAGCCTTCAAACCCCCAGTGCATGATTCCCTCACAAAGTGGCACTGGAAATCTGTGAAATTTCCTCATCAACACCAGGAACAGAAACATTGCAAATCCCATCTACATGCATAGGAGCCAAAATGATCAATAAATTGATCGTGGGCCCTTAAGATATAGAAGAAGAAGAAGAAGAAGAGATGTGTAACTTCAAAAGAAGCACGCCGGTAAATTCGTACAGATTGGGGAACAAAAGTATTTTTATATCTGTCAGTCCTCGCCCTGATGGAAAGAATTCGTCCCGAACGGCCCGATCCTAAGTATTTGTGATGAAGAGGGTGGGATGTATCATCCAAAATGTGTTTAGTTTTAGTTAGTTTTGCAAAAACATCTTTCTTCAAATAGTTCTTCAAGTGAAGGATGTTTAGTTTGTGTTATGTTCCTAACTTTCTTGATTAGTCGGTTTATGCGGTGTTTAATATCAGACGTTGAATTCCCACACCAGCAGGTAACACTGAAATTAAACAAGCTTCCAATTGTTGCACTGTAGAGTAAGTTAACGACTTGCTTGTTTACGCCGAAATTGTACAGTTTTTTTAAAGTAGAACAGTCTTTGGTTGAATTTCTTATACACCATTCGGCCGTGCTCATTACATGTTAGCTTATTATTAATGGTGGCACCTAAGTACTTGTATGTCTCCACTTTCTCCACATTTTGATTATTTATGTTGAGATCTGTAATCTGGTGTTTCCACCTCCTGAAATCAACAACCATTTCCTTTGTTTTTGAGACATTCAGCTGGAGAAAATTTTCATCGCATCAATTGATAAAGCTTGTAACTAAGTTGCGGTATAGGCCTTCTCCTTCTGATATTAAGCCAACAATGGTGGTATCATCAGCAAATTTTAAGATTGGAACGGTGTCGCTTGAGCTTTGAATATCATTGGTATATATGGTATACAGTACAGGAGAAAGAACGCAGCCTTGTGGTGCCCCGGTGCTTATTTCTCTGGTTAGAGATACTTGGTTATTTACTTTGACATTCTGTGGTCGATTTGTTAAAACGTTCAGTATCTAAGCCTGAATATTTAAATTGACACCTAACGAGGAAAGTTTCTTTATCATAAGGTGTTGTTGGATATTGTTAAATGATGATTGAAGTCTAAGAAAAGCACTATGGTATATGTTTTAGGATTGCCTAGGTGATTGTAAAGTCTCTCCAACAATAGTGAGATTGCATCCTCCGTACCTCTGGCAGGTTTGTAAGCAAATAGGTGGGAATCAAGTTTTTGCTGTACTTCATTCAAAATTTCTTTCAGAATTATTTTCTCAAAACATTTCATGACAATAGAGGTAAGTGTAACAGGTCATAAGTCGTTGTTGCACGTTACCTTAATTTTCTTTGGTATTGGTTTGATTTCTGAAGTTTTCCAAATTGCTGGTATTTTGTGACTTACATAAGATTTATTAAATACGTAACAAAAAATGTTGGAGAGCTGCTCTGAATATAGTTTAATGAGCCGACCACTTAATTTGTCTGGTCTCCAGGTCTTGGCTGCCTCCACTTGTTTAAATAATAACATCACTCTTTGTTCGGTGAACAATAAAGTACCATCCTGTGTACTACTGCCATCTTTAAATGAATTCATCATCTCATTGTGTACTCTTCCAAAGTCCAGGCTGTCAAAAAGACAATATAATTCATTTAAGTCGTTAACAAAATTCCTCACGTCCTCAACACATAAGCATTCTCGCTTAGGAGTATATCCTGTAATTTGCTTTAGTCCTGCCCGACAAGCCTTTGAGTTGTTAGTAAAGAATTGACAGTGCACTGTAACAATTCTAGTGTATTGACAGTGAATTGTATCTTTCTAGTGCATTAAAAATGAAGTATATCAACGCTTGTGTATTGACAGTAAACTATATCTATTCTAGTGTATTGACAATTGAATGTATCAACTCTTGTGCATTGACAATGAACTATATCAACGCTTGTGTATTGACCGTGTAGTGTATAAACTCTAATGTGTTGAAAGTGAACTGAATCAACTCTAATGTATTGACAGTGGACTATATCAACTCTTGTGTATTGATAGTGAACTATATCAACTCTAGTGTATTGACAGTGAAATGTATCTTTCTAGTGCATTGACAATGAACTAAATCAGCTCTTGTATATTTACAATGAACTATATCAACTCTAGTGTATTGACAGTGAAATTTATGTTTCTAGTGCATTGACAATGAACTAAATCAACCATTGTATATTGACAGTGAACTATATCAACTCTTTTATACTGACAGAGAACTATATCAACTCTTGTATATTGACATTAAACTATATCAAATCTAGTGTTTGACAGTGAAATGTATCTTTCTAGTGCATTGACAGTAAACTAAATCAACTCTTGTATATTGACATTGAACTATATCAACTCTAGTGTATTGACAGTGTCATTTATGTTTCTAGTGCATTGACAGTGAATTATATCAACTCTTGTATCTTGACAGTGAACTATATCAACTCTAGTGTAACGACGATGGACTGTATCAACTCTGGTGTAATGACGATGGACTGTATCAACTCTGGTGTAATGACGATGGACTGTATCAACTCTTGTATATTGAAAGTGAACAATATCAACTCTAGTGTAACGACGGTGGCCTGTATCAACTCCAGCATTGAGTACTCAAGACCATAATAAATCAGAATCTTATAGGTTTTTTAAAACAAAATTTTAACAAATGCATTCTTTAAATGAATGAATTGTTTTGTTTCAGATCATTTTTTCCAGGTTTAAAAAAAAAAAAAATACATTTAGTTTTTTTAACATTATGTAAACAAATGTTTAAAATTAAAAAAAAATACAAGAAAGGCAAAATAAATTCACCAGACAAAAACATTTGCTGCGGTTAATCAAAATGCATGAATATTGATTTAATTTTTTTTTTTTTAAGGAAGCAACAACTAACAACAGCAACAAATACACTTTTCTGGGTCTTCCACACAATAACGGTGCTTCCAACCTTGATTAAAAAATAAAAAAAAATACAAAAAAAGACAAAAAAAATCACCAAACAAAAAATTTTGTTTACGTTAATAAAAAAGCAATAAAAATTATTTAATTTTTTTTTTTTTTTAAGGAAGCAACAACTAACAACAGCAACAAATACACTTTTCTGGGTCTTCCACACAATAGCGGTGCTTCCACCCTTGATTAAGAGCCACTGTTCTAGGGAAATGTTTCTGACATAGGTGAAGTAATTCAATATTTATGGGAGGATAGTAGTGGATAGAGGGAATTTTTATTTGGGACGAAGGTAGAAGAGGTTTGTGACATTATTTTTAAAGGGGTGGGGCGGGGGAGGGGGGGCTAGTTTTTTTTGTGACGATTTTTTGGGGGGAATAAAAAATCGGGAAAATTTGTGTGACGTCATTTTAGGACCTACACCCGGCCCCCCCCCCCCCCCAACACAAAACTTTGCTCTACTACCAACCATTGTGAGATAGACACCATCGGGTAATTTGTCCATCATCAAAGTTCTTTTAACGGTACTGCACGTGTAACTTTTATAAGTAATGGAATGCTCGTTCGGTGGGTCATGATGCTCATTTTCCAAGGAGGATGAACACATTTTATGTTCTTAAAACATTAAATTCTTATGGTCCTAGTTCTTAAATTATATTATTTTATATAAAATCAGACATTGTTTATTGTTTAATTTAAAATAAGCTTTTCAATAGTTACCTTAAGTTTGAAGATCTATGTTTAAAATGAATACAACAAAATTACTTTAAAATAACTAATACTAATTTGAATTATTTTCTTACTCATGTATATGTACCCAATTTAACATCGAAATGTAACTATTTAAACACAAAATTTTGGACGTACCCCTATTTGTCATTTTTAAGATGAATATTTTAATTATAGAGTGATCTCCCATCCATTTTCGGGAAAACATAAACAAAAACGAAATAAACACTTGTAAAGTTAAAAATTCTGTAGAGTGGCTCGACGCCCTTTTTATATCAAGTAATTTATTTAAGTTTACCTGATTAAATTTATTAATGATTTTAATATAAATTGCAATTTAATAAAGAAAGCTAAAGGCAATTTGAAAAAATAATAAAAGCAATTTCAATATCAATATGAGTTTGAGAACTGACAAACAATAATCAAACAAACATTGATTTTGATTCATTGAATTGAAATGAATTGTAACAAATAGTTGTCGTTCAATCTTCATTGTGAGTTTCTTTTATGTTCAATCTTGATGGTGCCATTACATGATTGCTCATTACTCATTTACCGCCATTACTACTGTACCATATCTGCTATGGCATCTGAGTGGCATAAATACACATCTTAACTTTGTAATCTATGTTCTAGTGGGCCTATTTTTAAGACCAAAAAATAAAAAGCCTCTATGGCTATGAATACTATACTATGATAATGAATAATCAGCCAGTATTAACCTAACCTAGTATCATATGAGCGGGTGTGTAAGTGTATGTTGAGTAAATACAGAGAACGCGGCTCGCGGTTATTTCCATGCGCGCACTTTTACGTCTTAAATCGATCCCTATGCTTAACCCGAACCCTAAATCTATCCCTATGCCTAACCTGAACCCTAAATCTATCCCTAAGCCTAACCCGAACCCTAAATCAATCCCTATGCCTAACCTTAACAAAGTCAACGTGGGCCGCTAAATCTGAAACAGCAGTAGTATGTTGTATTTATTGGCCCTTTTCATAGGACTTATGCCTAGTTAGATGACTAAGTAGTAGGCATATCAATTTTAACTTATTTAAAATTATTAGCCTTCAATGACGTTATTATAGTTAATCATGTGATTATTAATGTAATAGTGCAGGGGTTCTCAAACTTATTTGGACTATCTCAGTCTTGTGCCATGAACTCATCCCATGCACAATCCTAATCCTGTCCAGGATATTTAGAACAGTATTTTGTATGACCTAATGTCACTAATGTAATTTTTTTAGTCAGAGCCGACAAATTTAAAAAAAAAGATTTCTGCATACAATGAATGTATGTGAAAATCTTTGTGGGTTCCTCTTCAAGGTGCCTCTAAAAGGGTTGCCTGTTATTATTGCGTTGCTAAGTATAGGTCAACATGCATAGTGGTTGGCAGCGGCTTGTACTGTGTAAAAAATTTCATATATCTTTCTTAGTGTTTCTGAAAAAAATTCTGACTAGTTTCTTTCCATGACTCTTTTGCAATGCCAGCAATCAACATGTTGTTTTGACTTTAACAAAAAATTATCATCATTCAGATCCAGTGGGAACGTGCCCATTGGCCTGCAACCATGGTATAGAATTTATAGACTCCCCGCAGCTGCTCTTTATTTGAATTAGGGTGTTGGTGCAGTCTGGTAGTTAGTTTAGGCATAAGTTCTGAAGTGCTGGGCAGTGGAAGAGGTGATGTGTTACTGCCTCATTAAGATTTCTGCAGAGGGGTCCAATTAGTGTTATATCTGGTTTTATGCGTCAAGATGGGAATTAAGCTGTATGTGTCCTGTACACAGACGAAAGATTATTACCTGTTAGTGTCTCTGGAGGCATTTCATTGAATCTTTGGGGTTGGGACTGGGCATGTGTGTGATAACACATCTTCCTGCTGAGCCCATAGCACATCCATTTAACCACTCTTTTTTTTAGTTGTTAGCTTTGATAATCTGCTTGGCAGTGTTGAGTGATGTATGTTTGGCTGTTTATTGTAGTCTCCCTTTGTTTATAGTTTGTCTGCTCTTTCATTTCCTAGTACCAGTAAATTGTGGTGTACTGGCATCCATTGTGAGATTATCTTTACTGCTTAGGTTGGAAGAAAGTGTTTGTTTTCAGTAGTAGTGATTTAATTGATGTTGTTGCAAGATCTTGATGCTCGGCCGCCTGAAGTATTTATATGCAGTCAGAGAAGATAACAACGTTTCTTTGTTTGCTGGAATAAACTGTGAAGAATCCAGATAGGTGTCATGACGCTGCTTCAACCGCAGTCACTTCTGCTTTATAATTACAGAAGATCACCCCCTAGGGGTTGTCGAGTTTGTCACATAATCATTCTGGGTACTCCGATTTTTTTGAAGTGTTTAAATATACTTTGCCTACAACACCTTACATGATTCTATCACCCTCTAAACCAAGTGAGCATTTTACTGTCATCCTACTACCACCCATTTTAAGAACCACTGTTCTAGAACATATATTCATGCTGGAAAGGGTCAGGGGGCGAATCTTAATCACAAAGAATTTTAAAAATGTTAACTGTAAAAAAATACAATTTGTTTAAAAATTGCTTAAAAAATTAAAACAAATAAAGGAATTTAACTCTAATAGGATAACCATGAAATAATTAGTAGGCCTCCTTATGATGCCTCACAAGGAAAATAACATAAAACAATGGAAATATGTGACACACAGTTGTTCTATATTAGAGCTTGAGATACCCGTTCAGACTTAATGGTCTATTTTGTATATATATAATTTATTATTTATTTTATTGTTGGTCCTTAAAGGCTGATTGAGTAGCCTTGACTTGAGCTGCATTGTGTATAAAGTGAGGGAGAGTTGCTCAATTTGTCAGCCCTGCACTCTTTGACGTTGCCTATTTGTTCCAATGGCAAGACTTAGTCAAGACGACTGGAAATCGACCAGGATGCAGTGGATGACCAGCAGTGTTTCTTGTGTCTCAATGTCATCCACAATGCATATCACGTGGCAGGAGTTGTCAGGATTTTCATTGTGTTAACGTCTTAGCGCCTAAGGGACTCAATCTCAGGGTTCAATTTCAGTTTCCCTCTCTTAGATGAGTGGTCACCCAAGGTTAACAGGTGCCATCCACCTGGGATGCTGGTGTTGCTTTTGCCTGTAAACCACTCGGCCACCCAGCACCTCTATTTTGTATAGGTGAGACAAAGTAGGGCGTTGAAATGTTTTTAGGTAAAGTCCATTTTGTGTTCAATCACCTGATCCACAGATAAATAGTTATAAGCCTTTAAATGTTTAAATATTTTTTTCTAGGCTCACATCTGAAGACAAAAAAAGAAAATGTTCCAGAGCATGATCTTTGTGGCTATCCCAGCTCTTGTGGGATTAACAGCTGCGTTTTATGTCTTATATAAAATTGCAAAGGAGGAGCAAGGTCCAATTCCACAAAGAGCTCCACAGAGAGAGCCCAGGACAGTGAATCCTCCAGGTATGTTAGAAAATATAAATATAAACCCACGCAGTCAACTGTTTGCGAAGGTTTGAAGTCTCTTCCAATGTCTCGTTGCCGAAGGCCATCTCTCTGAAACCATAAAAAAGAACAAGCCAAACATTCTAATTATTCATTTTGCCTAGAACTCCAAATATCTTTAGGTAAATCAAAATCCCATCCTACCTTCTGCATTCTTTGCACAATATCTGCCTGATATTGATATCCACCATTCCTACTAACCATACTTACGATATCTCCCCCATCCCTTCTAACCTTATCGATGCAGCCCTCATCATACTAGTAATCTTTCCCTCCCATTTATTTTACCGTATTTAAAATTTCTTGTCAATCCAGTTTTTTTTTTTTTTATTTAACCTTCTGCTTCCTTAACTCAATAGGCCTTTAGTTTTCTGGAAACTATTTATCAAACGATGCAGCCCTCATCATACTAGTAATCTTTCCCTCCCATTTATTTTACCGTATTTAAAATTTCTTGTCAATCCAGTTTTTTTTTTTTTTATTGAACCTGCTGCTTCCGTAACTCAATAGGCCTGTAGTTTTCTGGAAACTATTTATCAAATAAGATTGTCTCTCTGTTCTGTCTGCTGTCCAAGGCTTCTTAACTGATACATCCACTGTTTCGTGTTGGCTTTCCTTTGGGTTTTTCCCTTCCTTGTGCATCTTTCATATAAAATATAGAGGAACTTTTATTGTATCATTAAGTATCACTGGAAGTGACGTCAATGTGGGATTTCTCTAGATATTATTTTATTGTCACCAATTAAACTGACGCAAACTGAATAGTCACTTCTATCGATTTTCATGTGACCCATTACAACATGCCTGGGCTCTTCCCAGAATTCTGAGGTCTGCCAAAATTAAAAAAATTTGAGGGAAAAAAATTAACACCCTGGAGGCACTTGGCCAAAAAACATTATTACAATAAGCACATAGTAGTAGTAGGCAAGACTTGTCTAAAACACGTAGCAGGCAAGCCATGTCCCTTTAATATTAAAATTATTTATTATAAAAACTGTGCAGGGTGTGACACATGTCACACTTATCATACCTATCACACTTATCATACCTGTCACACTTATCACACCTGTCACACCAGTCACACTTATCATACCTGTCACACTTATCACACCTGTCACACTTATCACTCCTATCATACATGTCACACTTATCACATGTATCAAACCTGACACCTATCACGCCTGTTACACTTATCACACCTGTCACACTTATCACCCCTGTCACTTATCACACCTTTCACTTATCACACTGTCACTTATCACACCTGTCACTTATCACACCTGTCACACTTATCACAATTATGATACCTGTCACACTTATCACACCTGTCAAACTTATCACACCTGTCACACTTATCACACCTGACACACTTATCACACCTGTCACACCTATCACACCCATGACACTTATCACACCCGTCAAACTTATCACACCTGTCACACTTATCACACCTGACACACTTATCACACCTGTCACACTTATCACACCCATGACACTTATCACACCCGTCAAACTTATCGCACCTGTCACACCTGTGTTCCTGGGCATTGTGGGTTGAAGCTCCGTGTAGATATCTTTCATAAAATGTATTTTGTAATTTTTTGAGGAATTAAAAATATGCAGACTGTAAGTATTTTTTTGTTTTGTTTCGGCGTTAAATTATTTGCAGAAATTGATTCTTTTTCTGACAGGTGTAAGAAGACGTGATAATGTTCGACAGAGAAATCGTGTACCGGGACCAATAAGTGGCCCGTGTGCCATATGCTTTGAAGACAAATCCCATGTTGAGTTGTACCCCTGCATGCACAAGAATATCTGTGAGAACTGCACCATCAAAATTATACAACAGCGCAATAGACCCTGTCCGTTTTGCCGTGTCAGTATTCAAGGATACACCTAAATGAGTTGCGCAAAACTCAACAACTTGAGTAGGTGTGCAGTGAATCATATGATTATGCAGTTTTCAAAATATTTTTTGCTTTGATGATACATGTTGCGAATCGTCATCATTGAATTCCAATGATGAACTTTTGGCGGAAAATTGGTCTTTCATTTCAAATGTTTATTTATAAATTTTGTAGTATAAAATGTTAATATTATTTTAAGTTTCATTTATTTGTAAAAAAAAAAAACTGAACGCAAAATCTCAATGTGACACGTTGATATGGTGATGGAATATTTTGAATTTTTTTTTAATTCATTCATTCATTCATGATTTTGACTTAAAGAATTTTAGTTTCAGATTTGTTGGTGTCATGTTCCCTGGTTATTTCTTGAACTCAGTGTTGATTACAAGTGGGATAATTGAGTGTTCTGAATGTTTGTGTCTTATATTTTAATAACTTTTTTTTGCTTGCAAAGTTGTGTTTTGTTCCAGGACTTAATATTTCAAAAGCTTAATGGGTTTGGACACTTTTTATATTAATGTTTAAAATCCCATGTGTTCTCACTTCTTGGGCTTTGCAGTAAAAAGAAGAAAACTCATAAAACATTTCAAAGAGACTATTCTTCTTGAGAACTACTCATATGTGTAGGAAAATATAATCTCCATTTGTGCCAAATTTCTCAGTCGCTGAAGAATTACGAAGAAAAACCTTGATCTTTTTGATGTTACAAATTCTTCATTACTGCTGAATGCTCAAAATTTTTGAGTTTGGCCTATATGGAGTTTAACACTGGGCCTGCTTTGCATGTCTAAATTATTTAAGTTGATTGAAAGAATGACGGAATTTTGAAAATGTAGTGCAGTATACTATAATCCTAATTAAAGTAATATATGTGTCTCCTTTGATTATACAAAGTATGAAATTTGAATATATATTTGAAAACTACATGTTTACCTCCTCTGAGATTCCATTCCATAAGTATTAGATATGTGTGTAATATTGTTAGTTTTAAAAGCTTCGCGTTTGAAAATAATAAGGGGAAAGCATTACCTCATTGATACGAGTTTTTGAAAAACTCTCACAACCAATTTGCTAAATGTAAAACTACTTATTTTTGTTTTGTTGGTCAATCTTTTATTTACATCTTAATAGGGGAGAGCTCCAATTGCTAACACTTTTTAAGAAAGTCTTTAAATACATTTTTTTCTGCTAAAAAAAATTAAAAATATATGCTAAAAAAACAGTTTGATCTGAGACACTCTATATATACTGCATAACAAAATTTTGTACTGAATTTTATAGATAATGAAATTTAATTAATTTATCCTCCATAAAAACTGATGATGGACATTATTTTGCAATGTGTCCCCTGTTCTTTTAACATTTAAAAAAAAAAATCCATAACAAAGGATATAAATGCTTCAATGACCTCCACAGGTTGCAGATAGGACTAAACTGCTGAACTGGGACTAAATAATTATATAACTGTGTGAAAATTATACTTAAGTCTTGTCTTAATGAACTATAATAAAAGCATGTAGAAGTTTGGTTATGAGTGTGAAATCTTTAATTGTTACATAATGTGCCTTAATTAATTAAAATAAATAGGGGGGAGGGTATAAAGATTTTCTTAAAAGCATGGACCTAAAAAATGATGATAGGAAACCACAGATGTAGATAAAATGTAATAGGTATCTGTTGTTGCTAGAATCTTTTAAATAATAGTTTTAAAAAACAGTATTTGCATGTTTCATATGTTAAAGTCGTGTATATAATTATGTGTTAGGCGCTTTAAACAAATCTAAAAATAAATTGTAAAAAAAAAGACCAAAAATGTTTTCCCTATGTCTTGCTGAACACATTTTGTAACAAAATACGAAACATTGTAACAATATTAAAAAAAGTTACACTAGACTCATTTAAAAGTGTGGTTTTTTTTAGAGTTCTACCGTAAAATAAGACACTCACTACTCAAATAATTTTGTGTGTGGTTAATGTGACGGACAACACATTTTGACAAGGACAGTGAAAGTCGTATGGAACAGAAATAAAAAAAAGATGATTATCCTAAGAAATTAAAACTTAAAAAGATACAACTTACCAAGTGAATTGTCTCATGACATGTCTAGAATAACCACACAAGCACAGTGAAGAAATTGACCTCCCAAGCAAGAATGTTTGCAGCTGACACGGCGGTGTATAGGACGATCGCCAACAGTTCTGATCGGGACCAGCTACAGCAGGACCTCAATCGGTTAGCTGAGTGGGAGCTGAGCTGGGACATAGAATTTCATCCCGTCAAGTGCCAGACCTTGTCAGTCTCCAGAAGGAGAACCCCTCCACACCACCCTTACGAACTGCATGGGCGTATTCTTCAGCCAGTTTTCTCTGTAAATTACCTCAGTTTTACCATTCAAAGAGAGGTCCAGTGGGTCGATCATAATAACTATGTGTGCAACCAGGTAAGGCAAAAATCTAAAAATCGGCAACTTCAGACACTTCAGTGTGAAAGAAAAAACCTAGAAAACCTTTGTCCAGCCGCTTTTAGATTACTCATCTTCAGTCTGGGACCCATCCAACCAGAAGAGCATTGACAGGTTCGAGGCAGTCCAGCGATGGGCCGCACGCTTTGTCCTGAACCGCTACAGGAACACCTCTACTGTTGGCAGCATGCTGGAAACACTAGGCTAGTCACCGTTGGAGGAAAGAAGACGATTATCCAGGCTCTCCATAATGTACAAGAAAAATAATGGGCCGGTCCACTGCTCAGACATCAACAGAAACTCGTTCCTTTCCCTCCTAAACAGCAATGAGGCCATGGCAGGCAGTTCCGGCTCATAACAGCAAGAACACAGTACAGGAACTGCTCATTCCTGCCAAAGACAATCATGGACTGGAAAAAGCTTCCAAAAGGAACAGTTGAGGCAACAATCCTTGACACATTTGAGCCTATTGCCTCAGGCCTTCCAAACCCCCAGTTTCTGATAACGTCGTTGTGTAGCCCTTGCAACCAGAGAAATATCCTCTTCAATACCAGGCACAAAAGCATTGTGAATTCTCTCTACATACATTGGAGCCAGAACGATCAATACGTTGATCGTGGGCCTCTTAATTAAGATATAGTTGAAGAAGAGTGAATGCCTTCTTGAGCCACAGAAGCACAGTAGGGTAAAATGCCTACTTGAAAACATTCTAGAATATTTTTACCATAATTATGAAAATATTATGGTAGTGAAGTTTTTCTACATTTTGAAGATCCTAATTATTTTCGTAATAAAGATATGCACAATTTAGATTTTGTTTCCCTCATTAAAGTTTGTCTTTAAAAATAGTAATGTAAGAACACGGTAAAATTTGATGATATTCATAGCATTAACTCTAGGACTGTGCACACAAGTCCATAATACTATCTGGAAAAATTTTATAGGACTTTATAAAAAATTAACAAATATTTAGTTTTAATGAACACATTCTGTTGTGGTTGATTATTTTCAGATTGTAATAATTTAATTTTTGTAAACTAAGAAGCCAATGGTTTTAAAAAGTGTTCATTGAAGTATTGATATTTAAAGTTTAATATCAATTCTCTCATCATCCAAAGCACAATTATTATTTTTTTTTAGAAATTATTAACCAAATAAATATTTATCTGATACCCTCCCTAATTATTATATTTCTTTTCCTAAATATAAAAATAATTTATTTCGCATTTATGAGTGATAAAACTTTAGAAAAAAAACTCAAAACATTGTTTTATAAAGCAATAATTTTATTGTTGAAATTATTTATGTACACAAATTAAGATATATATCAGAGCTCTGCAACCGGTGTGGCACAGCCGGGCACCCCCTGGATATGGTCAGGTGTGCCGCAGCATTAGGGCTCCAAGAAGAGTACATTCTGAGATCAACTATGTAATAAACTCGTGTTGATACAAACGGACTGTCATTGGCGTATTAAACCATTTATTACAATTTTTTTTTAAACAACACGGAATCTGTTGTTCCACAAAAATGTCTAAAATAACCTGATCGTCTGTATAAACTTTAAAAAAAAAATAAGGCTGAACATGAGTCTTGGCAGTACTTTTTAAGGGATAATTTTTAAGCAGTTGCTAGAATAAATTGACGGTTGTCACTGTTTCAAAAGCTAGTTACCATAATGTAGAATCTATTGCACATACAAAAAATGGTGAGACATGTATCAAACCAGTTTGTTTGGAAACAATTCGATTAATCATTGGGCCTAATAATCACTGGACCTAATGATAGATAAGTAGACAAAATTTAGTCTCTGTCTGGCCTCCAAATGGGTGAGACAATCATTAAATGGTGAAGACAGTTAATAAGATAGGTATGATGTTTTAAATAAGATTGATCGAGTAAAGCTTACTTCAAAACTTATCGCATTCAATATGGACCAAAGGGTGGAATCCCATTTCATGTCTGTGTCATCTGCATAAAATTCTACATAATAGCATTCCCTTCAAGTTGAAGAATGACAGTATGCTATATTTTTACTTCATTGAAGTAAAAAAATCATAAGCCGATTGAGTTTGGTAGATTAACAGGTAACCTCTTGTTACGTTGTCAGGTATTGAATTAAATATGAAACATCTATTTTTATTAAATAATCTTAGAAATACCAATTATTTTTAATTCTGGTGTGCTGTGAAAGTTTTGTGAGTGCCCAGATGTGCCATGAAAGTTTTGGGAGTGCCGAGGTGTGCCGTCGCACTGCCGTGGGAGAAAAAAAAGATTGCGGAGCACTGTTATACACAACAGGAATGAGGTAACGTTTGATTAGTTTATAATACTTGAAAAAAAAAAAAAATTATGTCAACAGATCTCGATCCATGAAAAATATATGATGTAACTGATACAAACAACATTTTGATGTTTTCAAATTTCTGTCTTGTTTAATTTAACAGCTCAAAATGCATCTCAATAAACATTAGTATAATTGGTGACTAGACTATGCATAACTCTTGGCAGTTAGGGGCAAGAAAACTATGTAATTTACATAAAGGAACTAAATTTTAGATAGGTATCTCTAATTTACTAGCATTTTTTACAAGTTTCTTATTTCAGCACAACTAGTGCATCGACTAGAAATTCAACACAACTACTTGATCTCAAGGCATGCACACATTAAGCTTTTGACCATCCAGCTGGTTAGATTAAGTTAGTTCCTTTAAAATATATCACATTTTTTTCTCATTTGTAATAATTAGTGTGACCCAGGACCATGATATAAAATATAAGTTTAAAAACCTGAAATCATCCAATCCACATTTTTAAACAGAATGATACAATTTTTTTTTTTGAGGATGTATTGCTAGGCCGCTTCCATTAGTTAAAAATAGAATCACTTACATATGAAACCTGAGTGTTTCTAGCCGAATTTAATTTTTAATTATTAGGCCTTGCTACAACAGAGCTCACTAATTCTGTAAAATTCTGTAAAACATTTTCTTTTTTTTTTTTAGAAAAGAGTGTTTTAAAGGACGGGCGGGCACAAGCTTAAAGTGTGTTTGCTATTTTGAAGTTGACAGAAAACACTGGGTTAATCCCGCAAAAAAAAATTGAAACAACACCTGCATCGTTTATAAAGCAACCCAGTGCTAGAAATCAATTCAGCATGATTGTCAATTTGTTTTGTGATTTTTCAATAAAGACCATGAAAATTTAGCTAATCTTGGTTAAAAGAAATTGATAATCTTGGTTATGCTTATCCTTTACAGTAACAACGGTAAATAAGATTATGGTAGAGGCAATAATAAAATTCATACAAAATTTCACAGTATGGAGAGCTAACCAAGATATATTCCTATATGTATATATATATCTATATATCTATATATATCTATATATATATATATATATATATATATNTATATAATATTTATGTATGTGTATATATATATATATATATATACACATACATAAATATTATATAAATAATTTCTTATAAAAAGTTTGGTTCATGTTTGAACAAATAAAGCAATTCTTATATTCAAAATGTTTATCAGCTCATAAAAAAAACTGTATAAAATATTTGTTAACTCACATCACCTCCAAAATCAGATAACTGTTGGTAAATTTATAAACCATTGCAAAATTATTATAGAAAATAAAAAAAAATTAATCATTATCTTAAGTACATTAACTTGTTGATTACAGCATATTCGAGGTACATAATTTTTCAATGTAGTCTCAAGAATTGTGTCTTTGGTAGTACATTAAAAAAAAAAAAAAAAAAACAGGCTCACTACCTTTGTAGAAAAAGTTTCAGCATTTTTTTGGTCCCAGCAACTTGAAGTATTTTTTTATATGGTAGACAACCTCATGTTTTTTGAAAGCAAAAAAAAAGTTATTTTCTTCCCAACATGGCTGTTGAAACAATTAATGCATGTAAATTCATTTAATTCTGTGAAGGCAGCAAACGTTTCAGTAATCCATGGATATGGTTAAATCACATTCTATAAAGGCACCAGCAGCTCAAAGAAGATGGATTTATCCTTCTATAAAAGCATTTTCAGTTCAAACAATGACTGTGGATGATTGGAATTCTGTAGGCAGCCGCAGCACCTGGGATATAAACAGTTGGCATGGTAAGAAACATGGATAAACTACATTCTCTTCAACTCTTTGCTGCCATTGACGAGTGGCACTCTCTCATCATCCTCGTCTATGAACAGCCGAGATTCCTTGTTGCTCCTGTTGGGAAAAACAAATAAGAATTCTGTCAGCGTGTTTAATACACAAAATAAAGCAAATCCTCCTCCTTGATCAAAGGTGGGAAGGAGAGCTTTGTCGAGTTAGGAAATACAACATTAAAACAATTGTAAATGTATGTAACTACTACAAGTAGGCAGTCTTTCCTTAATCAATAAAAAAATATAATTTCTACTTTAAATACATATCAAATTGATTCATTTATATTCCCGCAATTAATGCGATTTCTGACACCAAAAAAATTTAATCTATCTTTTCAAATATCCTTTTCATCTCTCGGAAACGTATGGCCTTTAAGAGAATTTCATAAAAAGTCAAATGTCTCTGAAACGTACGGCCTTCCACAGAACTACATAAAAAGTCAAATGTCTCTGAAACGTACGGTCTTCCAGAGAACTACATAAAAAGTCAAATGTCTCTGAAACGTACGGCCTTCCACAGAACTACATAAAAAGTCAAATGTCTCTGAAACGTACGGCCTTCCAGAGAACTACATAAAAAGTCAAATGTCTCTGAAACGTACGGCCTTCCAGAGAACTACATAAAAAGTCAAATGTTTCTGAAACGTACGGCCTTCCAGAGAACTACATAAAAAGTCAAATGTCTCTGAAACGTACGGCCTTCCAGAGAACTACATAAAAAGTCAAATGTCTCTGAAACGTACGGCCTTCCAGAGAACTACATAAAAAGTCAAATGTCTCTGAAACGTACGGCCTTCCAGAGAACTACATAAAAAGTCAAATGTCTCTGAAATGCACAGCCTTCCAGAGAACTACATAAAAAGACAGATGTCTCTGAAATGTACGGCCATCCAGAGAACTACATAAAAAGTCAAATGTCTCTGAAACGCACGGCCTTCCAGAGAACTACATAAAAAGTCAAATGTCTCTGAAACGTACGGCCTTCCAGAGAACTACATAAAAAGTCAGATGTACCTGAAACCGCGCCTCCTCTTGTCATGCAGTCTCCAGTCCGTCTCATTCTCACTGTCCATGATGTCCAGCAGCTGCTGCTCATAGTTGGAGTCTATCGGCCCTATAGAGATGTCTCTCACCGCCCTGAACTGACCACAGTTGTTCAGGTGTTCATTCTCCAAGCGGAAAAAGTTCCAAACAAATCTCCTGAAAGCATTGATTGGACAGACAAAAATCTCAGCATTTCACCAGAGGGTATCATTGGTGTCAAATTGTCCTCCAAAAGAGTCATTTTACGACAACTATTGACATGCTTGGGTGTTTGAACATTTTCTCTTGCAATTATTTGAATGGTTAAGTGAATGATAAACCCAGCTATCGTTACCCACCTGTAGCTATCCAGCTATGGTGACCCAGCTATCGCTAGCGAGCTATTGCTATCCAGCTATAGTTACCTAATGATACCCAGCTATCACTACCCAGCTACCCCTGCACAGCCATTGTTAAACCCAGCTATCACTACCCAGATATCCCTGCACAGCCATCGTTAAACCCAGCTATCACTACCCAGCTATCCCTGCACAGCCATTGTTAAACCCAGCTATCCCTGCACAGCCATCGTTAAACCCAGCTATCACTACCCAGCTATCCCTGCACAGCCATTGTTAAACCCAGCTATCCCTGCACAGCCATCGTTAAACCCAGCTATCACTACCCAGCTATCCCTGCACAGCCATCGTTAAACACAGCTATCGCTGCACAGCCATCGTTAAACTCAGCTATCTCTACGCAGCCATCGCTGCACAGCCATCGTTAGACACAGCTATCCCTACCCAGCCATCGTTAAACCCAGCTATCCCTGCACAGCCATCGTTAAACCCAGCTATCTCTGCACAGCCATCGTTAAACTCAGCTATCACTACCCAGCTATCCCTGCACAGCCATCGTTAAACCCAGCTATCCCTGCACAGCCATCGTTAAACCCAGCTATCACTACCCAGCCATCATTAAACCCAGCTATCACTACCCAGCCATCATTAAACCCAGCTATCACTACCCAGCCATCATTAAACCCAGCTAATCACTACCCAGTTATCGTTACCTAAAGACCTCCAAGCAGGCAAACAATGTTTTCAGCACGGTGCTGTTATAGAAGAGTCCTTCACCAACAGAGACTGTCAACGTCCAAAGGAAACGTAGAACAAAGTCTTCCAACATGGCAAAGTAGTAGTAGGCCTGTGGGTAACCGGCAAAGAAAAAAACCCCAAGATAACAACACAGCGTGACATATTGTAAAGTGTACGGTAAAAATATAAGTGATCATAATATGTCAGGTCAGAACAAAAAAAAAAATGGAATTATTAGAATAACTATGAAAATTTATCAAAAGTTCCATTACATCAAAACTTAGGTGGTTTTTCTCCAACACCTTAAACCTCTAAAAATAAATACACATTGAGTCTCTGTAAAAACTCTCCACTGTCCAGTGCAGCTTGACTTAATATCATTTTAAACTTAAGACTTCATGTTAATAAAATTAAGAGTAAAATTATTTTTAAAGTTTCATAAAAAAAGTTCATTGTTAAATTAACCCTTCTTATGTTATTAAAGATGACCAAGTATACTTGAGTCTCACTGGAAATATGAAATAACTGATGACTGAGGAAACCAAATTAAGTGATCAATGGAGAGCTTCTTAGGTTCCCATAACAACACAGTGTAAGTAGCCACCAGCTGGATGCCGCACATTCCCTTTCTCCATGCTGTCCTTTAAACAGAGTTACCGTTAATCTAAATCATAGTTACTGTCCCGCCTTCTCACAACAACCCCCCCCCCCACACATACTTTTTACAGGCAAAACACTGATTTACATATCGATGTAACATAACATTGTAACCCACCTCATCATAAGCACAGACTTCTGAACATATTTTGCAGCAATGAAATCTCTACCCCAATTGTCAGACGATGACCCCCCCACCCCAGGGCCCCCCCCCCCCGCCGCTACTCACCTTATAGGCATAGACAACTTCCTCTCGGAGGAACCTGTTATCCCCTGCATTCTTGTCCATGAGCCCCCAATCCATCTTGATATCCCAGGTGTACGTGTAGCATGAGCTTACGACGGCAGCAACAATCCACAGGTAGAAGAAGGTTGAGGTCTGGCGATAGTGTTCCCCATACAGCTCTGGAAATGACCAACTCAGTCATATAAATCCATCCAGGGATGGTGAACATGATATGGTTAACACAACACATGAAAATGTTATGGTTAACACAACACATGAAAATGTTGCAAGGTCAAGCTTTACTTAAGCAGGCTTTTCAAATAATGTTGTGAAACAGCACGCTCAAACTCTAACTTATTGATTTAATAACAAAGAAAACGTTTTTTAAAAATTTATTACGCATGTCCGCAAAAATATTTTAAAATGTGTATACCACATATCTTGTATCATTTTAAATTGAAGGCAGTATTTTGATAAGAGCTAATGAAGGTTACGTCCAAACCAAACTGAAAAAATTCATTTACCAACATGAATCTTGTACAGTGTGGAGAACAGCACCACGAAAAATGTTGTGGAATATTTGCCAGCGTTCACAATGTGGGGAAAGACCAGCTTGGTGTCACGGTAACGTCGCAAGCACTGGGCGAACCGGAACCAGGCCGGCAAGCAGGAAATAATGGCAATAACACCGTAGATGTTTTTGTTGCAGACGCTCTGCCCTGGTAAAAAGATGAAGTGATAACAGTAAAGTTACAGTAAGTTATTATTTAAATTTGTTTTGATATAATAGGGTCAAAGCGTGATGAGGAAAAAAAATATGCATGAGAAGGCAGAGCTGAAAGTGGATTGAATCCAGTAGTTTAATAAAAATTGAACAGGTCTTTTGAGAAAAAAAAACTCAATTAATAAATAGATACACAAACACTAAAGGTTTAACTTTTAAATTCTAATTGTCTTTTTTTATGACTCCATTTCTTTACACTTGAGGCTGCAAAGGACATGACATCACAAACAGTGACCTACTTTTATCTCCAAGCCATTCCACCTCAAAGGCATAGTAACAGATGAGGTACTCCAGGTCTAGGAGCACAGTGACAAGACTGTTGAGCTGGTCAGCCAGCCAAAAGTCGGCAAAGCCAACATGGTGGAATGGGGCTGTGAAGATTCTAAACTGTAAACAGAAACGTAGCACTAAAGGGGTTGATTGATTAATAATTTATAAAAAAATTGACAATATCATGTAGACCAAGGATGAAATTAAACCCTTTCTGTTCATTGTATGGCATCAAAACCAAAGAGCACATGTTGCATGAAATGCAATATCTCATATCGGCCATCTTATTTAGAAACATTCCAATTTCATCCTTTTTTTTTATAGTTTTTAAAATTGTTTCTATTTAGTGCGCAAATAAAATTAATGGGTGCTCCCTTATGAGTATATTTTTTACAGAAAAAGTTTAAAATACGCTAATTATAATTATTTGTCAGCTTTACAGTTTTAGTTTGAAAGCATAGACGTGCCCACTGTATTACTTTATTTGTAATCAAGTGATAATAATAATGGTAATAGTGAAATGAACAGCACAAACATGTATGTCTTGGTTTACTTTTGTCTTCTGAGACCCTGGTTTGTCTGATGAATGAGGTTCCCAATGCTCATGGCAGCCAACTTGGAAAGCAGAACACAATTGCTGTGTCCATTTCCTGCCCGTGCTTATTTTTTTTTTGTCCTTGCTTCAGTCACAGCAAACAAAACAGTCCTTTTCCTACAATAAAAACAGCAGATGCACAGAAGTATCTGTGTCTGGCAAGCAATGTTGAATGGCAGGTTGAATTGGTGGTGGCTAGCGAATGGTGGTCCATAGGGACTGCACAGTTGATAGGATGTACTAGTCACTCTTCAGTATTTTACAAGGGTCCACAGACTTGTAAATGATCTATGATCTTAGCAACATCAATCAGATTCTGGAATATTTTCTTCCAGTAACATTCTTCTTGAATGTTGTGGAGCAAAATGGAAAATTTACTTGCCCCTCACATCAACATCACTCATGAATAAATTACATTAAAAAAATGGCTGTTTCAATCAATCTGATTTCTTCTCAATACTACTGGCTTTGTCTGTGACTTCTTCAAGGCAAGACACAACATCTCCCCTTTGCGTCAGAATTTGCATTCTCCGGCAGTCAGCTTTAAGGACCTTTCCTCTGGTGAGCCTCTAGAATTGTCTCTCACAGCACCAGCAAGCAATATTTAGTTGTTTGAAAGAAACCATGCAAGTGCTGGCTTTGTATAGACACTGTGAGCAAATGGTTTAACAAACTGGATTACATGGCTATTTGAATCACACACTTGGAATGGTACCCTTGGTTTAACAATCTGGATTACATGGCTATTTGAATCACACACTTGGAACTTTTTGTTTACAAGCCTTGCACGTCGCTTGTTTGGCATACCATGGATGCACACCAGCCAGTTCATAATGCTGATCATCGGATTCGTCAATGGAAATATTCCTGGTGGATGGCACATAATAATTTTTGGACATACCATTATTTTTGTCTGGAGCAGGTCTAACTTTGCTCAAAGGGACCAATCCATCCTCAACTTTCTTCTCTGAAGAAATGCCACTGACCTTCAGAATTCTATAATGTATTTATGTGAATAAATTAAAGCTCATTGTGTCATTGAAGCATGCATTCAAAAGAGCTGGCGTGGTTGCCCAGTAGTTGAAGATTTTTCTTTCACAACTGAGGCCCGTGTTTAGGAGAAGGCATAGGTATTTTAATAATTCCATTGTAATGCCTTCTCCTGGCAACTGTTTAGCCCATGGTCAGGAAATGTTGTGCATATTTTTGTCTCTCACAGTAAAGTGTTCAAAAGTTCATCATCAAAAATTAATTAACAAAAATTAATAGGCTCTGAACACATTTCCAAATTTGTATTCTCAGAGCAACCAGGATTTCTGACAGTGAAATTAAGATCCAATCTTCGTCTATTTGCTCAAGGTCAACCAAGTCCCAACCAAATTTTTCCGTAACCATATCAGGTTCAGTGATAAGGTCGTCAATATCAGACTATATGTCGTCACTGATCTTTCATATGGAATGTTCATGAGATCATCTTGTTCATTATCAAATTGGAATAAATCAAGTAAAGAAATTCTATGTTGATTTTCCAATCCGGAGAGACCCAGACCAAAAAATTGGAGAAAATTTTACTGGCGTTAATCACAAATCAAGCGCTGATAAAAGCACACAAAAAGATGCAGAAACAGGAAGGAAATTCATTTCATAGAGTGATCTCTCCTATGCCAACATACATTAAATCATTAGCATTTTTAATTACCATTTTACTAGCCATAGGCCGTGACACCAAAGAAAGGGGCATAGTGGCCAGATGATTGGTTGCGATGACAGTAATTGAACTAATAATAAATCAAGAGTTACCAGTATTCTGAGCAGCCACATCCTGGCTCTGTAGTAAAAGAACTTGAAAGGGTTGACAAGGGCAATGATGAGGAATGTGGTGAAGGCGAGTGGCATGGCCATGGGGGGGATGCCAAAGAACTCACTGTACAGGTATGACAGCACACTCAGTGCCCAGATGACACCTAGGAAGGAAGCCAGCTAACAGAAAGTGAAACCAACGTTATTATAGCGGCACGCTTTTTACAAAAAAAATGTTTCATCACCTGACTTAAAAATTTTTTTAATTAGATTACAAGTTAATTTAAATTGGATATTTTTTAATATATATATATAAAAAAAATTGGAGCATAAATAACTAGTTAAATAAACACTGAATCTTAACTAATCCGACTTTGCAACATTTTTCACCTATCTTTCATAATCAATTAAGATACACAATAAGCCCCCTCAGTTGATATCACAAGGTAACCAATGGCAAACCTCCAGGAGCTGTGCGTGTGTCAGGTGATTCCTTGGATCAATTTCAAAAATGAGCACATGGTTGACTCCGGATGACCTCCAGCCGTACGTGTTGACGCCCAAGAGAAAAAGGTCAAAGATCACCAGGAATGACCCACGGTACATGTGGAGGGCAGATTCCCAGTCCTTTGCCCGATCAACAAAGTTGGCTGGGAACATAAGAAATACATTTGTTCTTTCCAAGAAAATGCCAGAAAAACTAACAAGAGAAGTCAATTAAACCGACTGACTTTTCAACTTAACAGAGATAAATTTCATCTCCTTATCCTAAATCATTTTTAACAGAGACACATTTCTTTATTTTTGAGTTAAACCTTTGACCTGCATCAAAACTGCAAGGAATGTGTTTGATAACTTGTCTGACTTTCACAGTCCCCAAAAACTAATAAATAAGAATAAGCTGTAAAGCTGAGTTCAGCGGCACACAGTATAAAATAATTCCATACTATTGCACCAAACAGCGTAGAATTTGTGTTCAAAATAAAATTTCTAAATCAAATTGGGATTACTAACAACACTGAAATTTGATCATTGATAGTCATTCTTGATTTTACGGAAATCGAATAAATTATTACTATTATAAACTTGAAAAACATTTTTTATAATAATTAAAAACTTATTTCAAGTATTTTATCTGAATGTGATAGTTAAGATATTCTATAAAAAGATATTGACATTCTTTTTATTAACAATCACTACTCATTGATGATTTAATTTTATTAATTTGTAAGCAAGCTTAGGGAAACCTCATAAACCAGAAATTTTTTGATCACGTTGTCAAAATTTTGATATTAAATTAAAATTTATGTTAATGGCTCAAATAACCCACACAATATTATTAGACTTTGCAATTTCATGTAGAGCCCCAAGATACCTGTGCTATATCTTCTAGCATACATTAAAAATGTATTTAAAAGCTAAAATTGTTATCACATGGTAATGTAATAAACTGTTCAAAAGGTATATTTCATAATTCTTTCTTTATGAGGAAAAAAAAAGAAGTACAAATACGTGACAGAAACTGGAAAAAAATAAATATAACTAAGGAGTCAATAACACAGACATATTTTATATGAATCTCACCCTAGACAATGATGACTATCACAAACAACCTATTATATGAATCTCACCCTAGACAATGATGACTATCACAAACAACCTATTATATGAATCTCACCCGAGACAATGATGACTATCACAAACAACCTATTATATGAATCTCACCCGAGACAATGATGACTATCACAAACAACCTATTATATGAATCTCACCCTAGACAATGATGACTATCACAAACAACCTATTATATGAATCTCACCTGAGACAATGATGACTATAACAAGAACTGCGAACATGCCAAGGAAGAGCCCCATTTTAAAGTTTGTCCACGGGTGTTGCTAGAACAGAAAAAAAACATTAATGGATTAAAAGACCCGTGAACCCGAGAAGAAAAAGTTTGGTGATGTTTCACCGAGGACGAAACAGAGTTTGGGACATTGGAGCATTGGAGCCACATGCCCTCTTTAGCAAAAAAAAAAGAAAAACCATACAAGGCAAAAAACTTTAAACAATTTAACTTTAATGAGGGGCCATCCATTAAATATGTCTGGCATTTTTTAAAAACAATTCTTCCCTCACACCCCCCCCCCCCTTTTCCCCCCCACTGTCACAAATCTAAAAANTTTTAATTAGAAGTTAACAGCTCATTAAAATTCAATCTAAAACACACTTTGCTACTAAAATCAGAAACTACTAACTGACATCTTCTGAAAGTTAATCATCAATTTCAATTTTAGATTTTACATGTATGATAAAAAAATATACAAATGTGTAACTTCACATATGATAACCAACCCCCACCCCCCCACCCACCCCTCACAAACCATCACACTTTCTTAGACCCCCCCCCCCCCCCAATTCCTCCTGAGCAAGACGTACTTTGTGGACGGCACCTTATCGGTGTTGATGGAGTATTCATTAACGTTTCTGTAAATTGGTTTCAACTAAAATATAATCTGTGTGGCGCCTAGTGTCAAATTAATATGATTCAAAGGTATTCACACGTTTACATTATTGTCATCAAGTGAAATGCTGTCACTGCAACTAATACATTGGTAAACATCTGATTTTGTTCGCTTTATATATATATTTTTTGTTTAAACCGCTAAAATGAATAAAAATGAAACAGGGAAAGATCATTAGAATTCAACTTCTCACAGTAAAAGATCTCAAAGTCTGTAACCCACAGCAGTGAGAAGAGTGTGAGCAGGCAGCATCTACGATATAAAGACGTGTCGTCAAGATTCCTTTACAATTCTGCACTCTGCCTCCAGCCTGAAATCTCCACACAGAGAGATTATTTTGTGCTCTTTGTTGTTCATCCTCAGCATGTCAAAATGAACCGAGGCTTTGATCGTCGGTGAGTGCCACTGGTCACATCTAACATGAACCTGATAGGCGCACACGTAGCCAGAAGACGGCATGCGCTCTTCATATTTACTTGTAACCGGAACACTGGCACGTGCATGTGCCCCAAGAACATGGTTTACACTGTTACGAGATGATGGCAGAAAGAGTAACAATCATTAAAAAAAAATTCACAAGTTCACTCAGAATTACAGAACTTCATCTTTTACCCTGAACCAATTATCTCTTGACAAACATTAAACATTTCTTTTTATACTCGACTTAAGAAAGTAAATAATAATAATAATAATAATAAAGTTCATTTCAAAAACACGCTTCATCTCCAAAGGCAAAATGACAATAGCCAAGAGTTCATTCACTTTTGAATTATTTTGTTTTCATAAAATTAGAAATGATGATTTTTAAAAATACAAATCAATTAAAATCTGTATCTGAAAATTTGATTGAAAGAAATTCCATCGATGGTAAATTGATGAACGGTAATTTGATTGAAAGGAAATTTGGTCGAATCCTTTTTTTTCCAGTTTTTACGTTAAAATTTTGCTTCAAATTTCTTTTTGAATGCATTATTTTGTTTTACTCCATAGTATAGTGCATTCAAAAAGAAATTTGATGAAAATTTTAATGTGTGAGCTGAAAAAAGATTTGACCAAATTTCCGTTCAATCAAATTACCGTCGATAATTTACCGTCTGCGAAATTGTTTTCAATCAAATTTCCGGTAACTATTAAAATCATCAGCTTTTTCAGATGTGATTAATTCTGCATTTCTTGTCAACACTCATTTCAGTTTTCCAACATTTCCAACTTCCAAGTTTGGGTAGAAAAGATTCCAAACTAATCACATACAGCTGGGATAACAAAGGGATGTTTTTATAACAACAAACACTAGCTTTGTTTCTTTCATGCTTCAAGATTCTGATATATTCAATTATATTTTATTTATGTTTTTGTGAATTTTTCCATTAGTGAAAAAAACCAAACTGTTTTCTAACAATAATAATAATAACAAGCAGATAAAAAAACCTTGATATTGTAAGCTACAGTGACAGATTTTTTAAAGTTTTAATGTTGGGTTTACTTCCCTAATCCCATGAGAAATATTTGTTAATGGTTAGGACAATCACACATTTTCAAATCATGCAGCAGTGTGAATAAATGCAGACATTTCTATAGTTGTACAGTAAAACCTGTCCAAGATGACCACAAGAAGAAAGAGACCGTTGTACCGTGGTTATGTTAGACAGGTATTTGTCTACACTAAAGCAACCAAAATAACCGAGGACAGTTAATGAGCCACAATGAAAATATGAAACTTAATCCAAAAGTAAAATTAAAATAAATGATATGTTACGGAACAAATCTCACAATATTTAATAAATGAAAAAATTGTTCTGACCTGCTGAGCCTGAAAGGCAGTGGTGGGGAAGCAGTTATTTTAATAATTCAAACAAATAAACTCAAGTTCAAGGACACACAACCCAAATAAATTTTACAACACTCGTTTTTTCATTGCGGTGGTTCTAAGGCAGTTTTACTGTACAATAATACACATTTTAAAAGACTTTTTAACAAAATGAACGTTGTTCAGGCAAATTTTAGCCTTGAAAAAAAGAGAAAAGTAAGTTGTTGTTTTTTTAATGAAATATTTGATTGAAAACAAGGCATCCTACCAACAATGTCAACTTATGTCTTCTTTTTGTTAATTTTTAATCTTACAAAAAGACCTTTCCAAATGTTTTAATTTAAAAACAATAATTTTAAAAAAGGAAAACCAAATTAGTTAACCCATCTCTGATTAAGTTGTTTATAATTTAAAAAAAAACAACATTTGATGAGTGTAGAGTGACATAAAAAAAAAATTGTATTTTAATTTAGTTACCTCATCCCCAAGGGGGGGAACTCTGAGCCTCTTCATGGCCTTTGACCTGTCTCCACCCTCAAGTTCACTTGTTACACTTTGCTGCCGGGATCAAAACAAATTTAAGGTAAAGAAATTATTTTCCGTTTTCTATCTTTTTAAACAAAAATTGAGTATAAAAAGTGGTCCTTCGTGGTAATATGATAAAAACTGTAACATCAAAATTCACTAAATCTCAGAAGAGACATGTCATGTTAGTTAATACATTTAATTTCTGCACAATATGTCTGCCATAATTTTAAGATAAAAAAAAAAAAATTTAGAATGTCTGCCGACTCAAAATATTAAAAATCATCAGGCAAAGAATGAAGACACTCAAGACTAAGCAGTGTTTAGATAGCCAGGACACAATAAATGCTGCTTACCTCCACATCCTTTATCAGATGATCCACTTCCTTGCTGGTGTAGAAGGGTGCAGCTTCGACATGAGCCTGTCTCCATTCTGTGCCTGTTGTTGTCTGCATCATCTGTGTGCAGGAAAGTGCAGGAATGTCACCAAAAAACAGTCAATAAAACGAGTAAATTGTTAGGTGACCGATTGATTCCCTTTTAAAAAAAGTTATTTATCATTGAACATTTATTAAAGGTATCAAGGAGTTTTCAGGTCCCATAGATTGTGTGGCAATTAACATGTGCGGACTATTTATTTTATGTAAACTTTAACAACAGATCTAACATCCATCTCACTAACCTCACAAATGCAACCTAGTATTAAAAATATTCAACCAATTATCCTAAACGGGGAAGGTTTCAAACTAAAACAGTTAAACCTCACTTGCTTGTACCCCCATGTCTAATGCATTGGTCAAATCTTTATTTAATGTCACCCAATAACAACATGTTTCATTAGTTTTAAATCAAAGAAACATTCATTTGCACTTGAAATATCCACTTGCATGAAACTAAACTTTGACCCAGTGGGGGATTGTCATCCAGATTTGTTAAGCACCAACTGCACTAACTATGATCACCTTGTCATGTTTCTTGAGAATCTTCCTGAAGCCTGTAAAGTTGAGAGTCTGATAGTTCTGAAGCAGGACCAAGCTAAGATAAAACTCAGAGAAAGCCAGCTTCAGGTCATGCAACTTTCTCATTGATGAAAGGGCTTGACCCTTGACCTCTTTATCCTTTTTTTCAGAGGGAAGGGGAGAGAGACAAAATTTAAATAGATTTGGTAAATAATTTATACAAAATGCAGTTTGAAATTTAATTTAATAAGACACTCACGTTTAATTATTCATAAGATGAAATTAGTCTTTTGTTTGCTGAAAAAATTTTGAAATGTGATTTTTTTAAAAATCAACAGTATCATTATGGTGTCTAAGAATTACCTTAAAGAGCTGGAGATTTGCCATACTGGCCTTTCTGCGGCGTAACTGTGTATGACGCTGATTGTGCTGATTGTGATGGTTGAGGAAAACTTCCAGCTCTGCCTTCAAGTTGGCATACTTCCTGTTGGCCTCTGACAATTTCTCTAAAACAGCGAATGAGTTATGATGGTAGTAAACACCGAGGTTACACCCTGCTCATGGGGGGATAATGATTATCTAAGTGGAAACTCATTTAAAACTAATCAAACCTTAAGGAATTTTGTTCCTTCATCAATTATTTAAGAAATCTTCCACACTGAAACTTATAAATCAGGTTACTTTTTATTATCATTTGCTCTTTACAAATGTTAAATAATACCGGTAACTTCATTTTTTATTTCAACCTTTATAAAAAAAATATTAAAAAAACTGAATTAAAAAAAATAATAGAAATTCAGGCTTAAAATAAAGGACAAAAATTAAAAACCAAGATAGATCATCAAATATGCCTTACCAAGAAAAAAGGTGTTGATTTTAGATAACTCTTTGTCACAAAATTGAAAAAACTTTTCAGTGAATCTTGCAAAATATCTCTGTATAGTACTAGAGTCAGTGACTGAAAGGGAAAAATAATCCAGCAATAAAAAAACCAAAAAAGATTAAATTTTTAATTGATGCAACAACAAATGCATCTTAAAATATATCAAGATCTTGACAAGTAGAAATACAGAAAAATACATCAAGGACAGAGGAGTAGAGGAACACTCTAAATTTCTAAAAAGCACACAAATTTTGAGTGTTTTACCAAAACTAAAACTTACCTTCAGCTGACGGTGCTTGCTCCTGAGCATCATACAGCATTTCTTTCATGTACTTTTTCATGTAAACAAAACAAAGCGAACATTCTTTTAAATGCATAGAAAAAATGTATCATTTAAAGAAAAAAAATGGGGGGAGGGGGCATATACAGTAATTGTATAAACATATTGTAGAATCATCTCAAAGAATATTTTTCAAATAAAATGCACTTAAGTTATAGAAACAAAAAGGTTAATATATCTTTACCTCAGAAAAACCCTCACAACCTCACCTCATACTGTATATACTGTTTCCTCCATTCTGGAGTGATGTGGGCACCCAGATGTTCAGCAAACTTCATTGTGGCTGACTTGCAGCGTCTCTTCCAATCACAAGGAAGTTATGGATCAAGAAGATCTCATCAGTCAAATCTACATGAGGAAGAAGAAGATAAACAGATGAGACACTGGGAAAATAAAACCATTGCCAGTCTATATTGAATTCTACTACAAACCAGTAGAGTAGCAGAACCATAACTGAAGAGAAGCTTTACAAGGGAGCCTCATTAGCTATGAAAAACAATTTCACACATGCTTAAGAAATAACTAAATTGGAGCCCAAGGCTCAATGAAGATTTAAAGAAAAAAACCCATCTTGGTCATAAGTACAAGTTACCAATGCTGAGTAAACTGATGAAGATAGATGCTTAAACAAGAGGCCACACAATGAAACATGCTGCAGGAGGATAATTCATTCATCACAAACATAATTTATTTCTAAGCATTATGTCTAATTAAAATATGTCTTTTAATACTAGTAAGGAGGCCCATAAATCATTTTAGTTTTGTGAAAGTTTGTGCACTTGTCGAAATTTATTGTGGGCCCAGGCTTCTGCAATCTAATTCAATTTTAATGGGTGATTTAATTTAATTTTAAATTAAAATTTCCTGATTTCTTAATTCTTATATTTATTGTAAATTCGACCATTTTATGGTAATCTACCACTTCAGTGTCAGTTATTCAAAAACCGTGTTGCTCCAGTTTGAAGTGCGATTTAAAGGTTATTCTTTTATGGATAACAGAATATTTTTATTGATCTAAATAAATGGATTTGTTTTTTATGAAATTTTACATATTCATTTCAGCACATATATAAATAATCCATGACAAAATCTGTTTAATATAAAAATTTAATAATTTTTTAAAATAGTAAAATTTAAATTATTTAATGTATGACAAGAAAACAGAGTTTGAGTTTATGCATATTCCTCTCCCAAGGTAATAAGAAATTTGGGAAAATATCATCTTCAAGATAAGGATTGCAGAACACGAACTCATGCAAATATGAAGGGAAAAGATCACCACTAGTGGAAAAACTGTCTTTTCACTTTGTGCGCATCCACATATTTTCAACATTCTGTGTGTGGACACCAGCGTCATTTTGTTGAAGGACCACAAATGAGTATTCGTACATGCCATGTCTGATCTGGTTTGCATCCGATATAAAAAGTGAGCCTGGAAAGATGTATCTCTATATATGCACTCCTGTAAAGTGATCGCACTTCGGTATGGCACTTCAATGAGAATACAGCATCCACTCTCTCTTTCTATGCCAGCGAAAATCCAGTTTCCCTTACTCCACTGTCCTATGCCTATGAATAAACAGACTCAAGCATCCTTTATCATTAATAAAATTAAAAGAATAACTGTTTAAATAAAAATTACATCAAACCAGAAAAACACAATTAAATAATTACCCATGCTTGCTGAAGTGGTAGATTTTATTATTTTCCATAATTAATTTGAAAGTATTTGATAGGTGAAAAAACAATGACTCAATGTCTTTTTCTTTTTTTCAATTATTAAAACATTTTTATCTTTGGGAAAGTTATTTTAGTATTTAGTTTAGGCTTACTCTCACTTGGCTTAGAGTGGACTAATTTACAAAACGTTGATTTATCCGTCAAAGAAGACAATATCGACGCAAAGGTCTTACATAGATATTGGAATTTCGTGGAAACATCTTTCCAACAACAAATTAAGAATCGTGTGCTTTTGCTATTCTGCTCTGTTGTTTACAAATAAATTATGAGAACCGGAAACGGAAGTCGTAAACATATGTTACCCTCTTGTTGAGAGGAGCCTAATTTACTAATGTCTCGGCTTTTATGTTGGCATAGGCATAGATGAGATATAAAATCTTTCACGTCTCAATAATTTTTAATTCCCCCCCCCCCACAAAATCTGCATATGGTTTATTTTAGATAAAAATTGACCTTGGTCTAAATGTTCTTGAGCTCCACCCCCTTACAAAAAGTAGAGGCAATCCTTATTTAAAGTAACTTAAGTATTTTTAAAATTTTCCCCCTTTCTGGGTCGTCATGTGTGTAAGTCGAATTTCTCTTTTTTTCTTTGCCAACCTTAAAACAGCCTACATTTTGACTGTATTTTACTTAGCCGGGGAAGCGTTAAGCACAGTCATTAGCAACGTATCTTTAAGAGATCAGAAAAAAAAGCAACAACATTTAAGGTGATAGATAGGCCCCATTTGTTTTGTTTCTTTGTTTCTTTTTTTCACCTGGGGTTAAAAAAAGGGGGGGGGGGGGGGAAGAGGTGACGGCACAGATATTCTGTGGCGGGCTATGGAGTATTTTGAGCTGGCCAAAAAAATTCACTTAAACAATATCTTTAAATTGCAGCTAAATAGGCCTACTAACGTTTATTGATATCATTTTATTAAGAATAAATGATAATGTAATATTTTTATTTTCACAAAACCCCAAGAACAATTGACCAACGATTGAGAGCCAAATTACACAACCCCCCACCCCCACCACCCCCTTTTCCAGTCTCCCCCTTCCAATCTGTTTCATTGTAGTGGAAACTTTGGATAGAAAAAAACATTAAACACATTTTAATAATTCTTTAAATATTTAATATCGGTATCAGCACATCAGTTTGGGAAGAACACGTGTTCTTCTTCTTCTATATGTTGAGGGCCTACGATCTATGTATTCTGGCTCTTATAAATGTTTAAATAAAGTTCTTAAATACTTTTGCCTCCTGACCTTTAATTAATTTGTTTCTGTTCTTGTTATTGTTATACTGCAGACTTATTTTAACATTAGCAAATTCATCATGGAAGTCGGTGGAAAGGGGGGGGGGGTAGTGACACCATGATTTTATCGCATCGGGTGACACCAACCCTAGCTACGCCACTGCAGGCAGACAATCGGAACTGAAGGTAATGATCTGAGAGTAATAAATAATGGTTGTCTCCCACGGATAGTTTCCCTTAGTTCCCAACCTTCTAAGGCGGGCAAAAACAACTCAAAATGTCAGGTGGGGCAAAAGAAAATAGGACGCCCAGGGGGGGGGGACTATTAAGAATATAAAAATGATAAAGAATATTTCGTTACTTCGCGGGCCTCAAAGTGCGTTCTGGAGGGCCTCAAAGTGGGTTAAGGCGCGCCGCAAAGTGGGTTCTGGCGGGCCGCAAAGTGGGTTCTGGTGGGCCACATGCGACCCGCGGGCCGTATGTTGTGCAGGCCTGTTCTAAGGAATGACGTCTCATATATCATTAAATAGGACCATCAACTACTTTCATTTCAATATGTCTTAATAAGTCCCAAGACTAACAAGTCATATAAAAACCTTTTGGAAACACATTTTTTAGCATAATTATATTTATTGAAGTCGATATTGATTGCTGACCCACCCGTCTCTTTGATCATATATTGCTATTGATACCAGTGATTATTTGAGAAATGTTCCCCAGGGGGGGGGGGAGCACTTCAGATTTTACGGGGGAGGGGGGCAG